TAGAATTGTATGTTTTATTAGAAGAAGATAATAAAACATTGTTCCAATGAGCACTTAAAATAATCTTATAAATTGAACAAAAGCATTTTATAAATTGAACAAAAGCAACAACATCGAATTACTGCAAGATCAAAAGTTTTAAAACTAGAATTACAGCAGTATTTAGAAACTGTAGAATTTCAAACTATGATAATGGAGCTTGAAAATCAGAATTTATGAAAGACGTGATTGTTGTTGGAAGCATTGAAGAGTTTTTGATAAATCTGTTAGAACAAGAAGTTGATCTGACTTTGAACAAAGCTATAAACAAATTAATAATATCCTCAGACAAATCTTGAGAGGAGAAGGAGAACCCAAGTCACAGGATAGCAATGGGACCTGTACAGATGATAAGGCATAAATCCTTTGATCTACTGTTTGTCTTGGTTTCTGTATCTAAACAGCAGATACTAAACGTCAGTGTCAACACTGTGGAATAAAAAAATGCTTCACGGGCACAGACAGTTCCAAGCTTTGACAAAAGAATGCTACGTTTCTAAGTCATTTCCAAAAGATGTGCAGAAGTAGGTCTCAGTTTGTAGAAATATGTTAAAATGATAATATCACCACCATTAGAAAAGATACCCAAAGCGTTCCTCGGGGAAATTGATGATTCAATCCAATTCAGGTTAACAGACCTTGTTTGTCATTGTTCATCTCACCTTTGAGATTGATATAGAGTGAGTGTTACTGTCCTATTAGATCATACAATTGTAGTAGAAACAGAAGTTACAGCTACGGGGACGAACCTACATGGTCAAAGCTGAATTACTTGTATACTACAAGTAACACTGTAACATAGAACATGAGAGCTGAAAGTGTATATGTATGTCACATTCAACACTTTAAAATTACAGAAGGAGCTCAATAGTTCCAAGGAAACAACTGGTTGAGGAACAAATCATTATTAACCAACCAGTCAAAAGGCAATCGATAGATGATTTCATCTGGAATCTTAGACTCATGGAGAATCCAAAAAGAAAAGATAATCTATTAAGATTCTCTACAAAGCATAAAACAATTTTTTTTTTTATGGTCAAGAATGCATAGTGACCAGTAAACCAAAGGAGGCTCAACCAAATTCAACCAGAACAGATTAATTTGTATCGCATTGAATGATGGCCAAACCAACAGTCTGCAACTTAGTCAAGAACGTGTCTGATGAGCATCAACAGTATCTCAAGCTCATAAGTAACTTGCTAGTGTATGACTGGACTAGTTATTTCAAATTCTCCATTATGATACTTTGGAAAGTATACAATGGGGTGTCATATGCATTGCCAGTTAGTCAGGACTCATATCTCAAGAGGTGTGGAACTTCTCATAACTCATTTTTAAAAATTATTTATTCATGGGATGGAGGTATTGCTGGCTGGACCAGCATTTATTGCCCATTCCTAGCTGCCCTTGAGAAGATGATGGCGAGCTGCCTTCTTGAACTGCTACAGTCCACTTGTTGTAGGTAGACTAACAATGCCTATTAATTGAAAAAAAAATCATTGCAGAAATAATTCATTGTAAAATCTGAGATTTCACAGGATTATCAAGACTGTAAAACAGTCCCATCAACAGTGAAGAAAATTCAGATGACAGAAAATGGTAACATTTACAAAGAGATGCAGAGTAGAAGAAAAAGAATTCGCAATACAACTCATTTGATCTCTTTGAGGAATTTTTAATGGAAGTTATTTAGACTGCAAAATAATAAGATGAATATATTGATACAGCTGATCTAACTTTGATTCAGATGACTAGATAACAGAAATCCAAGAGCAACATTTCATTTCTTTGTCTTCCAAAGAAGAACTATCAGTACCAGTAACAGTGATAATGTTATGTCAGTAGTAATCCTCCAGTAACATGACTGAGGATGTGAAAATGTCTCATTCAGGAGGAAATCATCCAGAATGAGCAAATGAAGATATAAAATGTATTCAATAAATTGAAGTAAAGCTTTTACACACTTCAACATAAATGTCTTAACAGACAACAAATAAAGATCTAATACTCAAAATGAAAATGATTTGCTTATGACTCCATTGGAGACAGACAAATGTCCACAGATTCAGAACACAAATGAAATTACCTGGCTCATAAAGTCAGGATGCTACAAAATGAAAATATTTGCTTCATCTAGGCAGTCAGCTCCCATGATGGATATTTATGACGTCAGCCATGATCTCATTGAATGGTGGAAAAGTCCAGAAGGGCTAAATGGCCTGCTGCTGTTCCCATCTTCCTATAAATTAACTTCCCGCTCCCTTCCTCCTGCATTCTTTCCCCGCACCTTCCCTCCATATGTTTATGGGACCACGACATGAATTAGCTGGGAAGAGTTCCTCTGCAAAGTGGAATTTAAGAGATTAATTGCCCTCCAGATAAAGCAATGTATCAACTTTTGGATTTAAAAGGAACAACAGCTTCTGAGAAGGGCATCCAAGAAATAGCAGCAGAAAAGTGATTGGTCTGCCGATCAAGGTCAACCAGCCTCCAGCTAAAGACCTATCCCTTTTCCAAGTATGAGGAGAGTGTGCTCTAAGGAATTATGAACCTCCAAATGTTCTGAATTACTGAATCCTGAGACGTGAGATGTTGGTGCTGGATCAGTTGTGGGAAGATGGGGTTAATGATAACTGTAGATGTATAAATGTTATATACCCAAATATACAAATATTTGGGAAGATATGAGAATAATTTTTGGAGGAAGATTTTGTATAATGTAATAATTCTGAAAAGGTTATTGTTAAAGACTGTACTAAGCTTCATCCAAACTGAAATGCCACAGAGTCGAGTTGGGAAAGTGAAGTCTGGCTCAAGATCCCAATGCAATCAGATTGGTCATCATTATCTCCAAATGGACCTAATAACCAGGAGTGACTCATTAAGACACTAACTCTCCTTGTTAAGACTTACTCATAGCTCATTCTCTATCCTTGTCAGCTAAATATGTTCCCAGACCCAATACATATCTATTAATGTTTTGATCTTCAGTTATTGTGCCCCCTAAAAGCTTTTAGAATCATGTATGTATTAGTAGAGTAAAAAGGAGGGCTGGTGTCAGGATTCTATCCCAGCCTTTTGCTGGTGTTGGTTGGTTACAGAACTCTAAGGGGAGGTGATGACCTAGTTGTGTAATCGCTAGGTTATTAATAAGGAGACCGAGGTAATGTTCTGGGGGCCTGGGTTCAAATCCTGGTATGATGGAATTTGAATTTAATATATTAAAATCTGGAATTAAGAATCTAATGATGACCATGAAACCATTGTAAGGGAAAACCCAACTTTGTTCACTCATATCCTTTAAGGAATCCTCACCTGGTCTGGCCAACATGTAAGTTGAGAGCTGCAACAATGTGGTTGACCCTTCACTGCATTCTGGTCAATTAGGAATGGGCAGTAAATGCTGGTACCAGCCAGCAATGCCCACATTCTGTGAATAAATTTTAAAAAAATCTTCTCAGCAAATCATCATTACTTTTGAATTACAATCCTTGTTGTTTTATAGACAAATGTGGCAATCAAAGACAATTCCACAAATAGAAAGAAGTAAGTTGATAAACCAGATAATTGGTTCTTGATTGTAAGAGATCTCAGTATTAATGAACCATAATTCTGTATCTCTCTTCACAGATGATGCCAGAATTGCTGAGAATTCTCTATCCTTAACTCAGAATTCCAGCATCTGTAGGTTTTTGTTTTTGGTAGTGGTGATGGTTAAAATGTAAAGCAAGACCTGAGAGAAATTTCTTTGCATCTGTTTGAATGTTGTCACAGGGTCTTCTGTAGCCATCCAAAAGCAGACAGCTTATGACTGATCCGAAAGACTGCACCCCTGGCAGGGTGGCACTATCACAGTACTGTCTGGGTTCCTGTCTGGATTTTCTGCTTAAATATGAAGTAGATCTTGAGGTTATGCCTTTCTGACTTGAGGAAGGAGTGTTACCATGGCTGGTACATCTAACAGATGTTGAAGTTGATTCATCTTAAGATGTCTATACATTAAACTGAGCCATCCATAAGTTCACTGTTTCCTATTAATTACTTGGATACTAATAGTTTATTATGTGATAAATGATTGATAACAGTTGGACCTTCCTTGCTCATTTCATCTAATTTGGAAAGTGACATCCTTGTATCCTGTCAGAAATACACATTCTCCTGAAGTCTTCTCTCCAATTAGTCATGTGTAATAAAACTTGATGTGAAACTTCAGAAGTGCCCATTCTAGGCATGTTTGCTTTAAAACTGAGAGGCTTGGAGCCTCTATTTCCAAAATTCCTTCATACTTCAAAGAATGGAGAGCATTTAATTGCAGAAAGCTCTAACATAAAGGGCATGATATTTCTAGGCTTGAGCAGATCTGCAGGATAGAAGACAATTGTAAACTAAGACCTTCTGCATGGTTAAGTAGCCACAACTGGGTGACCAGTGGGATGTCCAAAGCTCAGCTTCAACAATGCCTAAAGAATTGACATGAAGGATCAACACATTGAGTAATACACCTGGGAATCTCTAGCTGAAGGCTGAGGACAGTGAGAACAGTGGGCTGGCATGCACCATCATGGTACCAGTGGTTACAGTGGTTGGCAGTGGGTACCAGTATCAAAAGTAACAAAAACCAATGCCACTGGAAGCTACATGTGTCAGAAGCTCTTTGGGATTAGCTTCTTCAGCCTGAAACTGACTGGCAGCTGCATGCTCATCATCCATGTATATTGAAGGATGCCAATAACAATGTTACTGGGATTCACAAGCAGGAGGTTTAGTAATGAGGAGTGGTAATAAAAATAAACTCCACTCGCATAGTATTCAGCAGCTACATGGGTCTGAATGTAGTAATAATTTCAAGACATATTGACTAAAATATAAACTTCCATAAAAGTCCAGATGGAAATGTAGCAGGAGGGTGATGTCTGTGATCAGTGTTCAGATTTTTATGAGCTTGTGTTTCTTGTCTGCAGATTTCCAAAAGCGATGGTGTACCTTAGAAGGCGGGTTTCTGAGTTACTATGAAAGTGACAAATCAGCCACACCAAATGGGAGGATTGATATCAGCGAAGTGGTCTGTTTGGGAGTGGCCAAGTTTGATTTTACATGGGGCCCTGGGTGAGTAAAACACTTGAAGTACAATCCCTTTTGTTAAATCCTAGGGATTAGACCAAATAGAACTAATTCCTGTAAACTCAATTTTGTTTGACCTGGTACTTTAAGGAAAGATTTTATTATTTGCATGGCAGGGATTCTTACTGAATTTGTTACTTTTCATCTAATCAAATCAAGGTCTGTTTCATTTCATCTTGGCAGATTATGGACTGTGGAGCCACTGTTTATTTTTTAAAATTTTGTACAAAGGAACTTCTACTTGTCGATTGGCAATCAATTAGAGTGAACGGTGGGATGTATTTTGTTTCTAACTTCTAATCATGAACGCTGCAACTTTACTGTGTAACTTGGCTTCTCATGGTGGATAATTTTGGAGTATTTCTTAAGCTAAGAAAACGTTGAAATCATGTCTATGCTAATTGCAATGGAGCCACTCCTGGACTTACTGATGTGTCCTGCCAGGAAAGGGCAGCAACTTGAAATCTCTCTGACACAGATTTAGTGAAATTATTGTTTATAAATTTAAAAAAAAGAAATCTTCCATATAAACACAAAGTAAGATGGAGAAAAGGTCTAGTTAATTAAAAATATATATAGTTTATGTGCTTTAAATTGTCAGTCTGTCTGGATGTTGTAATTTGTTAACCAAGTGCACACATGTGATTATTTGGGGTATTTTTGTTAGCACTCTTTGGGGAACTGAAATCATCCAACAACAATAACTAGGAGTTGGAGTAAGCCATCCACTCTTGTTCTGCTATAGGAAAGTCATGTGTGTTTTATTCCATTGAGACAATCTTGGCATGTGCTGCCTTTTATGGGCCTGCGGATTGGAAGGTAGCAAATGTCATCTCACAATTTAGGAAGGGAGCGAGAAAGGAAACAAGTTGCTACAGACTTATCAGCCTTACAACAGTAGTAGCGAGGGTTTATTGTAAAGGAGGGGATTAAAGAAAACATCTGGATAATATAACATGATTACACATAGTCAGCATGATTTACGAATGTGAAATTATGTTGGATGAACATGTTGGAATTTTTTGAGGGTGTTACTAGCAATATTGATAAAGGTGACTCAAAGGATGTAGAATCCCAGATTTTCAGAAAGGTTTTAATTAAGACACCCACAGGAGGCTGGTTAGAAAAATTAAAGCATATGGAATATAATGTAATATGCTAGCATGGGTTAATGATGGATGACACAAAACAGAAAGTCATTCTTGTGTTAGTAGGTTGTAACCAGTGGGGTACCTAAGGATCGGTACTTGAGCCTCAGCTTTTCACTATATATATAATTGATTTGGAGTTAGGGACCACATGAATACAAAACCATTTTTGAAAAACTCTAATTATTCTCAACTAAGCATAAGTATTTTAACATCACAGTCACTAATCACTCCAGAGATTCTTCATTTGATAAGTCATTTTAGTATGTCTGGCATCAAGTAAATCCAAGACTACTGAGAGAGAATCATTTTTTAGTTACAGTGCTTCTCGTTGGCACTCTATCCTTGAGTCAGATTTTGATTTTGAGTGAGGATTCCACAAGTGAAAAGGTAACCTACTGGATTGAATTCAGACTGTTGTAATGGGAGCCCCTGACAGTTGTACCCACTTCATCATGGAAGAGATCCCCCGTAGCTTCCTGGCCACAACAGACACTCATCCAGATAAGTTAGTGGGCAGAAGTGCTAATGTGGAATGTCAATTGGAATCATTAATGAGTGATTCACACCCATTATCCATGATTTTCCCATTTCAACTAGCAGCAAAATGGCACAACAAACTCTCCTTAATATCAGTACACTCAGACAATGAAGGCCATCAGTTTAACTGGGACAAGGTAACTATAGTAGCCCAAGCCAAACATAGACACGCACGGGAATTCCTAGAGGCATGGTTCTCCACCCGTAATGCAATCAACGAACACATAGAATTGGACCCCATATACAAACCCATGCAGATCAAAATCGGAAATGACACTACGCACCATAACAGACCAAAAGTATAAATTCCAAATAGAGTAGAAGAACATCGCTTCATTGGAGACTCCGCTCATTACATCACCTAACGTGGTGACGAAACGTCTGAACGAGAACAAGCCAGCTCGGCGAGGAAGTCAACAATCTCATCCACAACCCAAGTTACGGATCTTTGCCAAAACTTTGATTTTCATGCACTTAAAAGGCTGCCCAGCAGACTCTATCATGATGGCGTTTGGGTTCTTGGCTGGGGATGGGGTCGAAGGATGGGACTACTTATGCTCTTACAACTTTGGTCTCATCCCTGCTAATATTTCCATCAGCTACGCCAATTTTTCTCCCTCAACTTCTGACAATTAACACAATGTAAGGGTTTCATTGCTGTTCTTAAATCTTCTAATTCAAAGAAATTCAATCAGAAAGTTTGGAAATAAGTGTGCTATCCTTCAGCATGAAGCAGCCAGTTATTGAGTATTAATGAGATCATTCTTGAAGGGGTCACAAGGAAGGCAAGTGTTAGAAAGTGGAAATGCCATGTAGATTAGGGAATTGGCAAATGATTGATCTGATGGAAATAGGAACTTAGGGTTTCATGAACGGACCAATAAGTTCCTTTAAAAACTTAGTGAGAGTCGGTCAGAAAAATTCTTTGGCTACAAACATCTCATGAATTTTCTGCAAGAAGTTAAATGAAATTGAATCCTCTGTTATATCTTATATAAAGTGAAAATTCAACACCCTTGGAAGGCAGTAATTAAATATGCAGAGGGTGTTTCAATTGTGTGTTTTAAAATGTCTGCAAAACGAGGAAAGAGTCAAGTTTGAATGGAAGGTAATTAAATTTCCCATAGTAGAGGAAGACACGGAAGCTCTGGTAATTCTGTATCCATCTTGCTGCATTCAACTTTTGAAATGATGTTATATGGCAGGGGTATAGTAAGATTAATAAGAGCACAGTTGAGAAATGCTAACAAAGCAGTCTTTACCCAATATTCCACTTCAGTTATAACCTTAACAATATTAGCTCAGCAGAAACTATAGGTAGACTTTGTATTTTCAGTGCTAGAGTGCATCTCTGCATCATAAAATAATCCATCTGAGTTTCATTGATGGACCAGCATCCTGTCCTCTGAAAGTACTACATGGCATTGAAAGTGAAAATCTAGTCGAGTAACTGACAACCATGTTTTAACATAACGTCAAATATGATCAATATTTATTGTGGTTTTCTTTTTTAATTATGGAGAAACAATAGAAAAGAATGTCCTTTACTTTCATACAACTCCAGCGGATGGTGTAATATTGAGGGTATACAATGGCATTCAATTCTTAATGAAGTTACTGGAAAGCTGTTATTTTTAAAATCTAATCAGTGTTTGAGGGATTGACTCTCCATAGAAAATATGCATTATATCAAGATGGTATATTTAATTTATAAACAGTATTTGTGTTTCATACAGCAGTATATGAGGTTGTTATATACTTTTGTCTGTACGTCTGTTTGATTTTGAATTACACGTTTCAACATCAGCATTGTTGTGTAGACTACCTTAGAATATTTCAAATGACAGTCTTGCTTTCATTTGGAATTCCCTCCCTAAACCCTTCTGCATGTCTATCCTAATCTCCACCCTTACTTGCCCCATATGAACTATTGTACTAATATTAAATCTACAATCTTGAGTGATCAGTAACAGGCTTTGATGTGCGTAACTGTGCAGACGATGGTAAAAGTGAACTACTTGGGCCTGACAGAGCCAGGCTTCAATTCCATGTGGTTTGACATCACTATTGTCTAGCTCCTTCGAAGCATGCTTATTAAATATACTAAGAGTAAATGTACAATTGCCTTGACTCGATGTCTTTCACAGTGCCTTCTTTTTTTAACGATTAAGGTTTAGTTTTGGATATTTAACACTTTTATGCTACTTCCCCCTGGTCCCTTGTGCTTGAGGGAATTCAGCCCCAACAGGTTCTTGCTTCTCTTAGGTGTGTAAGATATACGTGCTCCCTTTTCCTTTCCTTTCAAGAGCAAACATACTGATGGGTTGGAATGAGAGGTTCTGGTGATAGAACAAGAACAAAGAACAAAGAAATTACAGTACAGGAACAGGCCCTTCGGCCCTCCTAGCCTGTACCGACATGCTGCCCATCACAACTAAGACCCCTGATGCCTGGTCATTGAGCTGAAAAGGCTGTAGCTAGCATACTAATGGCTTACTGATGGGTGCTTCACCCAGTCTGAACCACCCCCCACCTCTATAGGTCCATAATTTCTAAGTGTTGAAAATTAACATGAGCTATTTTGGACTTGGAGAGCTGTCTCTCTCTCTCTCTGGATATCTTCTCATTAGCTACTAGAAGATATTGCACTTATCCTCCATCCACCTTTGCTGAGGTCAGAAGTGAGGATTTAGCTGATTATTGCATAATTTTCAGCACCATTCACAAATGCTCATGGATGTTTAATTTCCCCTTGTCCATGTGCAGCAAGACCTGGAAAATATTGAGACTTGTGTTAACATTTGTGCCACACAAGGGCCAGACAGTGACTGTCTCTAACAAGAGAAAACATTCCCCCTTGATACTTAAAGGTACTACCATCCACTGAATTCCTCACTTTCAACATTATAGGAGTTACCATTGACCAGAAACTGAACTAGATCAGCCTTATGAATCCTGTGGTTTAAGTACAGGTCAGAGGTTGGGAATTTTCTGATGAGTAACTCACCTCCTGACTCCCCACAGCTTGTCCACCATCAACAAGGCACATGGTAGATGTATGATGAATATCCTTTGCTCGGGTAAAAATCCTGGAATTCCCTCCCTAAGGCCACGTGGGCCAACCTACAGCACATGGAGTGCAGCAGTTCAAGAAGGCATCTCAAGGGCAACTAATGATGGACTATAAATGCTGACCAGCTAGTGATGCTTATATCCCATGAGTGAATAAACAAATAAAAACTTGTCTCAGTGAATACAATTCTGACAACTCAAGGTTAGCACCAACTTCAGCAGCCC